ACACACACACACACACACACACACACACACACACACACACACACACAAAGCTTCAGAACATCATCTCACTCTAGATCTTGTGAAAGATCGGAGACTAAAAGTCATCTGCAATCCCAGTGGTGTTTCATTTAGTCTTTCGATCTCAGCAAAAGTACAAATGTCACAAGGCAAGAGAAAAAAATTCTTCAAAATACAAAAAAAAAGGAATTGTGTGTGTGTTTTATAGCAAATTTGTAAGAAGCGATGTTTAGTGTTGGGGCACGATTACCATATTCTAGGTCACACTGATGTCAGTACTCTAGTTGAAGGTAGAATGGTGAGTTCGATCAAGATTTCGTCAGTTTGGTTCTTCTAGTAGTGAAGTCCTAGAGGCACAAATGCCCCTGATAAGGCTATGACTGAGACTGCTGTTTTGAAGACATGCACATGTAGAAAGGCAGCGAGTTCATCCGCACAGGACGTGATTTCAGAAGGCAGGGTGGGGGGGGGCAGGGACCGGTGACAGCAGCTGGGTGAGTGGCGGCAGTGAGAAGCCAATTAGACAATCACACAATGGCAGCCACTCTTATCCTTCTCTTTGCGTGTGGGCTCCGGTGAGGGTGGGCACTCTTGCTCCTGGAACTTCCTGTGAGAGGATGTGACAATCAATCAAAACAAGTCACACTCAGTGTACAAATCTCTGAGCTCCAATTAAGATCTGCCGTTACATGTCATACGAGACATTTGGCTTCCAACTGAATTTATTTCACTTTATTTAGTTTGTTTGTTAACTGAAACTGAAATAATCTGTCATTGAAATAAGGCTGAAATAAAATGTAAACATAAAAACTTATCAAATAAAATGTAAATATAAAAAAATAAAAAAACTTTAATGAAAATTAGAAATGTTCCTTTGGCAACTAACTGAAATTAATAAGTTAAAAAGTACTAAAATTGCTAAAACTAAAACTGAAATTATAAAAGTTTAAAATTAAAGCGAAATAGAAATATAAAAAAACCTTAAACGTCAAATAAAATTGACAAAAGGACATAATGAATTACTAAAATGAAAATTGAAAATATAAAAAAATAACAGCTATAAAATATCAAGCTATATAAAGAAAATATCAAGCTAATCGAACACCATAAAAGTACATAAATAATACTAAAATTAACACTGAAAACATTTAAGCCGCACACATATTATCAATCTGTTCACTACAGCTATGTTCAGAATAGCATACTAGCATACTAATCATACTCTTACATAAGAATATAATGCTCAGTATGAACATTTAGTTTCATATGGAAAACCCAGATACTGTGCATAAAAGATACAGATATTGTATCTCACAATGCAAGATGCCTGATTTCATTTTCCATTTCTAGTATGACAAATAAATTAAAATGTCAATCTCAATTGAATACAATACAAATAAAAAACTATTGGCCTGCCAAAATGAAAGACATTTTTACCCATAAAATTGGATTAAACTAAATAAATAAATAATTCTGAGATAAGCAGACACTAATTGCTATATTAAATATGCAACATCATGAGGTCATGTGACAACACTGTAGTAGGGCTGCACGATTATGACAAATCATAATTGTTGATTATTCCCTTGAAATTGTAATTGCGATTATTAATTACGATTATCACAATTTACATTGAATTATGTTTATACCACGTTTGAAGCAACTGCATGCCATATTTGTATATGAAAATAAACAAGCTGAAAACACTCTAACTGAAAAAACTTTTATTGCTTTTCTATAGTATTAAGCCTCAAATGTCAACTTTACAAAGGATTGTTTCTTCTTTAAATAAAAAAAAAAAAAGAGTAAAACACATGCATGGTATTATAATGTTATACTAAAACTAAAATTAAATCAAATGGAAAAACCCTTAAGATAACCCGTAGAAAGAAAAACATAAGTGGACTTTGAACGATTAATTGTCGCTTTGAACGATTATGTAATTGTGGCATCTGTGATTGTAATCGTGATTAGGAATTCTATTAATTGTGCGGCTCTACATTGTAGCATACTACTGTTTGAAGTGTTTATCAGTCCTTAATGTGTACACATGTGTACATACATATTTTTAATTCAATTCAATTCAAGTTTATTTGTTTAGTGCTTTTCACGATACAAATCGTTGCAAAGCAGCTTTACAGAAAATTAAGTTTCTACAATATATTTAGTAGGAGCTTGTCAGTGGTGATGTCAGTGATGTCAAATTGATTTACATATGGCAGAAATGTACGGTAAAACGTTTAATGCAGTATGCAGTATGCAAGTGTTCCATTCCAACCACAGCCTGCTGATTGTGTGCTGCCACCATGTGGTGGCACAAAACAGCACTGTATGACACACACACACACACACACACACACACACACACAC